AAAACCTATTTTGAAAGCAATGGAATGGCCTGTTCTGATGGTTTTAGAAGACAGAGAACATAGGGGAGAATCTCCATTCAGCCAGAGGTGGTATTTGCTGGTTTGCCGAACTGCTCAAAATTTCCGCTACCGGTTCTCCAGAATCTGTCAGAACCTGCTGGATTTCATCCCTCGACCGTATGTACTGGAGGGCGTCTCCTCTAAAGGAATAGTGGAAGACTATTGCAGAGAAAGAGATGCCGTTCTGTTTATGCATATTTATACATACTTTTTCAATGGAGGCAGCTGCATTAAGTCTTCAAGGGGAGGCCAACGGTGTCACCAAAATGCTTTACCTCCCTGGCTAATGCTTTGTACCTCCCTCTAATCTGATGATCTTTTCTGTTCTGAACTTCCTGGTGGAAATTGTAAAAAAGGGAGCCTAATCTTTCCTTGAAAAGGTTTCCTTTGTTCCCAGAAGTCTGTTTTCTTTTTTCTTTTCCCTTTGCAAGTAGCAAAATTCAAGCGGATAACCTTGGGGCCGCCTTCCCCCTTCTGTTCATAGTTAGTCTTTCTTATCTATCAGTAAACGTTGCCCATGCCTGTAATTCTGAAAATGAATGAATATGTAAACAGAGATTTCAAGGTGAATAAGTTAACCACGGCCTACTTGGCCGGACAACAGGTTTGGATTCCTTAGTTGGGTTTTAATAGGCAGTTTCTCAGAGAATCATAAGATTTATTTCCTATGCATTATTTTATTAGTTGCATTAACAGAGGCAGGAACAGTTGCATATCTATCTATCTATCTATCTATCTATCTATCTATCTATCTATCTATCATCTATCTATCTATCTATCTATCTATCTATCTATCTATCTATCATCAATCTACATATATATCTATGTCTGTCTGTCTGTCGATCCATCTATCCATTCATCCATCCATCCATCCATCCATCCATCCATCCATCCATCCATCTATCTATCTATTTATCATCAATCATCTATCCATCATCTATTTGTCTGTCTGTCTGTCTGTCTATCTATTTATCTATCAATCTACATCTATATCTATGTCTGTCTGTCTGTCTGTCTGTCGATCCATTTATCCATCCATCTATCTATATATATATATCTATCTGTCTATCTATCTATCTATCTATCTATCTATCTATCTATCTATCTATCTATCTATCTATCTATCTATCATCAATTGCCATCCATCCATCCATCCATCTCTATCTCTATCTCTTTATCCATCCATTATCTATCTATCTATCTATCTATCTATCTATCTATCTATCTATCTATCTATCTATCTATCATCAATCATCTATCCATCATCTATTTGTCTGTCTGTCTGTCTGTCTGTCTGTCTGTCTGTCTCTCTCTCTCTCTCTCTATCTATCTATCGCCGTCCATCCCATCCATCCATCCATCCATCCATCCATCCATCCATCCATCCATCCATCCATCCATCATCTATTTGTCTGTGTCTGTCTGTCTGTCTGTCTGTCTGTCTGTCTGTCTATCTATCTATCTATCACCGTCCATCCATCTGTCCGTCCATCTATCATCCATTACGTTACCTTTTCCAAGGGATTATTTGTTAACTCTTTATGGCCTGGGAACCCCAGTTTTCTCCTGCCATTTTTAGCTCCCCTGCCAGCCTAATTAGATCTTTGGCACAGACAGGATTTGAACCGGCTCGCAGGAGACAGCTCAACCAGGTCTCTTATCGGCCTCTGTGAGCTTGCAAAGATAAAGCTTCAAAGACCGACACATTTTAAATGCCCCTTAAAGAGCCTTCAGAAATGTCCATTTCATAAATGTTTGTGTTATATGATTAGCAGATAATGGCCAAGTGGTGTTATTGAATTGCTCTGTGGCTGAATACTTGCAAACAGCATTCGTGGCCGATATCAGATAAATGAGTTACTTATTAATCAGGTTTCTGAATGTGGTGGAATTCATACTTTCCGAGGGGAGCTGACGTTGTTACCTTTTGTGCTCTAGAAGGCTATGGAGTTCTCTCCATCCACCCTTCCATGGGCAGAATTTAAATTATGGGTACCAAACTTCTGCTGCGCCATGATCTACTAATGCCAAATGATTGTCCACAGGTGGATCTATTTACACAGGGGTGTCTTTGGAATATGGTCCAAAGAGTCAAAAATGTAGACGTTCTTATATTTATGGAATAGATGAACACTTTGATTCCTACTTCATGAGGTTTTAGAAGCTGCCCAGTTTGTACCAATCTCACAGATATACGATGGGCGGAAAATTCCAGATCTGGTTGGAATAGTTATAACTGTACCAATAAAGGAGAATATTTGTAGCTCAGGGTTGACATGAGGGGTCCTTGGTGTTCTCTGAGCTTAGTTGCTTTTCTTGCAGACGTTTCATTACCCAAAACCTAGTCACCCTAATACTGATGATGTTACCTAGTTTGGGTAATGAAACACCTGCAAGAAACAAGCTCAAAGAGCACCAAGAAACCCCTCAGTTATTACTGTCTTGGTTGAACATCTATGGAGATTCTCAATCATCCAGGTCATAGTTGTCCCAAAGACAGGTGTGGGCTTCAAAAATTTTAGCAAGGGGTTCTCTGCCTGGTTACTGGCTGGACGTGGCCATGGTGGGTATGGCCTAGTCGGCCTCCTGCACCATGGGGGGGGGTTATCCTCCCCGGGCTCCGGAGGCTTTCCTTGAGCCTCTGGGAGGGCGAAAATGGCCTCTCCAGGCTCTGGAGACCCTCTGGAGGATGGAAATGGGCCTGAACTTCTGGTAGGCCTGTTTTTCGCCCTCCCTGAGCCTCCGTGCGTGCCCTACACTTACCTGCATCCAAAACAGGCCGCGTGGGAACTCCTGGGAGGCGGAGGGGTAGGCGGGGCCAGCCAGGAGTCGGATTTGGAACAGAATCTTAGCTAAAGGTTCTCCCGAACCCCTGCGAACTCCCAGCAGCTCACCTTTTGGAAAAAAGTACCTTTGGGATAACTGTCTTGGTCCAGACCTGTTGGTAGGAAGAGGGCTATATTTAATAATAATAATAATAATAATAATAATAATAATAATAATAATAATAAATTTTATTTCTATACCGCCCTTCTCCCGAAGGACTCAGGGCGTTGTACAGCCTATTTAAAAAACACAAGATAAACATCAATTTAAAATTTAAAATTATTGAATAAATTTGGCTCCATTTAAAACTCCAGAAATTTAAAATACCCCAATTTAAAATTATCATGTCGATAGCCTGGCCTGGCGGAACAATAGGGTCTTCAGTGCACAGCGAAATACCCGGAGTTCGGGGATCTTACGTATTTCCGGGGGCAGTTCATTCCACAGGGCTGGGGCTCCCACAGAGAAGGCCCTCCCCCTAGGTGTCACTAGCCGACATAACTTGGCCGATGGCACCCTGAGGAGACCCTCTCTGTGGGAGCGAACTGGCCGGTGGGAGGCTATTGGTGGCAGAAGTCGGTCTTGAAGGTACCTGGGTCCTATGCCATGGAGCGCTTTAAAGGTGGTAACCAGCACCTTGAATTGCACCCGGAAGACCACTGGGAGCCAGTGCAGCTCGCGCAGGAGGGGTGTCAAATGGGCACAACGAGTTGCGCCCATAACCACCCGCACGGCCACATTCTGGACCAGTTGGAGCCTCCGAGTGCTCTTCAAGGGGAGCCCCATGTAGAGAGCATTACAATAGTCCAGCTGGGAGGTGACAAGGGCGTGAGTGACTGTGCGCAAGGTGTCCCGGTCCAGAAAGGGCTGCAACTGGCGAATCAGGCGAACCTGATAAAAGGCCCCCCTGGCCACGGCCATCATATGCTCTTCTAAAGACAGCCGTGCATCCAGGAGGACACCCAGATTGCGAGCCCTCTCTGTGGGGGGGGAAAGATTCACCCCCAATAGTCAGCGATGGCACCTGCTGACTATATCGGGACACCGGAAGCCACAGCCACTCAGTCTTGGAGGGGTTGAGTCTGAGCCTGTTCCTCCCCATCCCATTTAACATTTGGGAAAGACTAAGGCCTGCTAAGGATGTGGGGATCTTGGTGTCTTTACCACAGCAAGGAAAGCAGCATGGCACCATTGTATTGTGAGCTGTGCCCCTGTTGTAAGTAAGTCATAAGTCATAAGTTTATTTTGTCAAGCATATATGAGATAACAGGTAAAAGTATAAACATAATTTGAATACATTAAAAGAGTAAGTAAAAAGGAATATTAGGACAGGGACGGTAGGCACGCTGGTGCACTTATGCACGTCCCTTGCAGACCTCTTAGGAATGGGGTGAGGTCAACAGTAGACAGTTTAAGGTTAAAGTTTTTGGGGGTTTGGGGAAGAAACTACAGAGTCAGGTAGTGCATTCCAGGCATTGACCACTCTGTTGCTGAAGTCATATTTTCTGCAATCGAGTTTGGAACGGTTTACCTTGAGTTTGTATCTATTATTTGCTTGTGTATTGTTGTGGTTGAAGCTGAAGTAGTCATTGACAGGAAGGACATTGTGGCAGATAATTTTATGTACTATGCTTAGGTCAGACTGAAGTCGGCGTAGTTCTAAGTTGTCTAAACCCAAAATTTGAAGTCTGGTGGCATAAAGTATTTTAGTGCGGGTAGAGGAATGGAGGACTCTTCTCGTAAAATATCTTTGGACTCTCTCGATTGTATTTATGTCCGATATGCAGTGCGGGTTCCAGACAGATGAGCTGTATTCAAGAATTGGTCTAGCAAATGTTTTGTATGCTCTAGTTAGTAGTACAACATTACCAGAGAAGAAGCTACGCAGGGTTAACAACTCTTAATACAGTGGGCTCAGGCACTTAGATCGTTTGTGATGAATACTCCAAGGTCCTTGAGTGAGGGTCATCTACAAGGTAATGTCCATCTAATTTGTATTTTATGTTTTGATTTTTTTTGCCAATGTGCAAGACAGAGCATTTGTCGGTTGATATTTGAAGTTGCCATTTGTTACTTTGTTAAGTAGGTGTGATGTCATGGCCCAGGTATCAAAGGGGAGATACTGTCTTAGCAGGTGCAGTTGAAATAGTTGATGGGGATGCAGACAACCATTAAGCATCTCCCCCTGACAATAACAACTACCCCGTAAGTTTTTATTGGACTGATTAGTTTTTTAAACTCTGGATATAAATATTTGAGTTAGAAGTCATTTTGGGGTGATTGGGCTCGTTGTTGTTGTTGTTGTTGTTGTTGTTGTTGTTGTTGTTGTTCTTCTTCTTCTTCTTCTTCTTCTTCTTCTTCTTCTTCTTCTTCTTCTTCTTCTTCTTCTTCTTCTCCTCCTCCTCCTCCTCCTCCTCCTCCTCCTCCTCCTCCTCCTCCTTTTCTTTTTCTCTTTCCCCTCCTCATTCCTTCTTCTTCTTCCTTCTTCCTTCTTCCATTGTCTTCATCTCCCTTCCTTCTCCTCCTCCTTCCTCCTTCTTTTTCCCATAGTGTCTCATTTCCCTTCCTTCTTCTTCTCCTTCTCCTTCTCCTTCCCCTTCCCCTTTTCTTTTTCTCTTTCCCCTCCTCATTCCTTCTTCTTTCTCTCATTGTGTCTCCATCTCTCTTCCTTCTCCTTTCCCACTGTTTCCATCTTCCTTCCTTCTCTTTCTCCCCCTATTGCTACTCCTACTGTTACTCCTTCCTTCATCCTTAACATCCCTATCATCTCCATCATCAGGAAAGTATAATATTTTATGACTCTGCTCTGTCTTGGAAAAGCTAAGCAGCGTTGGAACAGGTCCTTAATGGAAATCTGGCATGTTGAATCTTTATAGCTCAGGAGAGCAATGATTAGGTAGAAGGAACAACTTAAGTACTGTAGGATTATGAAGAATAAGATAAAGTATATACTTAGCCCTGGGAAAGTGCCCAAAAATGTTAATGCCAAATGATGAATAATAAAAATTGTACTCGTTTGCATTAAGTTCATTGTCACAATTGCCCATAAAAGAAGACCTCTTCCAGGAGAGAGAAAGAGAGAGAGGGAGGGAGGAAGGGAGGGAGAGAGAGGGAAAGAGAGAGAGAGAGAGAGAGAGAGAGAGAGAGAGAGAGAGAGAGAGAGAGAGAGAGAGAGAGAGAGAGAGAGAAGAGAAGAGAAGAGAAGAGAGAGAGAGAGGAGAGAAGAGAAGAAGAGGAGAGAGAGAGAGAGAGAGAGAAGAGATCTATAATATAACATAAATTCTAAACTGTAATAAATTATTTATTACTTAGGGGGTTATGAGTGTTCCTTTTCTACAGCTATGAAAATCAATGGATGTGATAATTTTTTCCTAGCAATAGCAATGGTACTTGCTATAAGTCTATAAAGTCTATATACTACTCCATAGTGTTTACAACAGTGGTCCCAAACCTTTTGGGCACCAGGAACCAGTTCTGTGGAAAACAATTTTTCCATAGGTGAGGTGATGGTCAGAGGTGGTATTCAGCAGGTTCTCACCAGTTCTGGAGAACCAGTAGCGTAGTAGTTCGGAGAACCGGTAAATACCACCTCTGACTGGCCCCGCCCCCATCTATTCTTTGCCTCCCGAGTCCCAGCTGATCAGGAGGAAATGGGGATTTTGCCGTATCCTTCCCCTGCCATGCCCACCAAGCCACTCCCACCAAGCCACGCCCACAGAACCGGTAGTAAAATTTTTTGAAATCCACCACTGAGAGAACCGGCAAATACCACCTCTGACTGGCCCCGGCCCCATCTATTCTCTGCCTCCCGAGTCCCAGCTGATTGGGAGGAAATGGGGATTTTGCAGTCTCCTTCCCCTGCCACGCCCACCAAGCCATGCCACGCTACGCCCACAGAACTGGTAGTAAATTTTTTAAAAACCCATCACTGGTGATGGTGCTTTCACATGCTACCTAGATCCTGTGTACCGGTATGTGCAGAGGAAGCTTTGCTCACTTGCGCAGCCCTACTTTAAGGACCCCCACTTTACAGCATTGTCTGAGCAGTTCAACCGAGGGTTACCTCTTGATTACTTTAAATTTTATTTTTTTCCACTTCGTTTGTTTGTTTGTTTGTTTTTTAAGATTGAGAATCTTTAGACTGGCAAAATTTTCATTTTTCATTTTCATTTTATTTGATTTATATACCGCCCTACTCCCGAAGGACTCAGGGCGGTGAACAGGCACAAGATAAAACACATAGAATACAAAAATTTAAGAGCAGAAGTAAAATCGAATTAAATCAATTTAGCCCAAGACAAATTTAAAACTCCAGGTTAAGAACAAATTAAAATTTACATTAAAAAGAGAATGGGAGATGTTAGGCCATTCCAGCCTGGTGAAATAAAAAGGTCTTGAGAGCACGGCGGAAGGTGCGTAGATCCGGGATCCTCCATATCTCCAGGGGGAGCTCATTCCAGATAGTAGGTGCCCCCACAGAGAAGGCTCTCCCCCTGGGGGCTGCCAGCCGACATTGTTTGGCCGACGGCACCCGGAGGAGTCCCTCTCTGTGAGAGCGTACTGGCCGGTGGGAGGCCGTTTGCGGCAGCAGGCAGTCCCATAAATAACCAGGCCCTAAGCCATGGAGCGCTCTAAAGGTGGTAACCAAAACTTTGAAGTGGACCTGGAAGACCACGGGGAGCCAGTGCAGCTCGCGCAGGAGAGGTGTTACATGGGAGCGCCACGTCGCTCCCATAACCATCCGCGCGGCCGCACTCTGCGCCAGTTGGAGCCTCCGGGTGCTCCTCAAGGGGAGCCCCAAAACTTGTTGAAATCAGTGGCTCAGTTTCCTTCAATCCTTTTAAAAAAGTTTAGCTACAAAAATTAAAGATTTGAAATGAAACCTTTTTGGAATGTACAGCAAAAGGCTGAATAGAAATAGAAATAGAATAACAGAGTTGGAAGGGACCTTGGAGGTCTTCTAGTCCAACCCCCTGCCCAGGCAGGAAACCCTACACCGCTTCAGACAAATGGTTATCCAACCTCTTCTTAAAAATTTCCCGTGTTGGAGCATCCACAACTTCATTCACAAAGGTTGATTACTGTTGGCTTTAGAAAGTTTAAATGGGTTAAGGGCTCAGATGAGTTTTGATTTAAGACTTTAAAGCTAATGGAAAGGATCTTTTCTCATAGGAAAATCCCTTTGTTTATATTTTGAAACCTTTAAGAGCACTTTGAATCTTGGGCACTAGAGGGCACCTAATGGCTGATTTAAAAGAAATGTTTGATGTGTGTATGTCGTTTTTAATGCTATTTAATTCTGTAATAGAATCAGAAGGTGGTATTGAAAACGAATACACTTCGGGCACGCGTGCCATAGGTTCGCCATCACGGCCCTAAACCATTTGAGATAGGTGGTTGTCCGGTCTTTTCATGGAACACCCAGACATTGGAAGACATATAAATGACCCCACAAAAATAGTGCCAGGCTTTGAAATACCATGTCAGCCATGGACAACCCTGAATAGGATATTTGCATCTGACAGGGTGTCTTCCAGGGCTTTCTAGATGAGCAACAAAGATGATTAGGGGACTGGAGGCTAAAGCATATAGGTGTGTGTGTGTGTGTGTGTGTGTGTGTGTGTGTGTGTGTTTGTGTGTGTATGTGTTTGTGTAGCTAAGCCTTGGTGGCGCAGCAGACTAAAGCACTGTTAAGTAACACCAGCTGCCTACAATTACTGCAAGTTCAAATATCACCAGGCTGAAGGTTGACTCAGCCTTCCATCCTTTCGAGGTAAGTAAAATGAGGACCCGGATAGTGGGGGCAATAAGCTGACTTTGTATAAAAAAGAACACCGCTTTGGGGGGGGGGCGAAAGCCCTACTAAGCAGGTATATACAAAAGTATGAAGGCTATTGCTTAACGCATTGTAAGCTGCCCTGACGTCTCCGGAAAAGGGTGGCATATAAATCGAACCAATAAATAAATAAAATAAATAAATAAATAAATAAATAAATAAATAAATAAATAAATCAATATCTGTATGTCTGTCTGTCTGTCTGTCTGTCTGTCTATCTATCTATCTATCTATCTATCTATCTATCTATCTATCTATCTATCTATCATCTTCTCTCTCTCTCTCTCTCTCTCTCTCTCTCTCTCTTTCTATCTATCTATCTACAGTCAGTTAGAACAATTAATCAGTGGAACAATTTGCCTTCAGAAGTTGTGGGTGCTCCAACATTGAAGGTTTTTAAAAAGAATTTGGACAACCATTTGTCTGAAATGGTATAGGGGTTCCTGCTTGAGCAGTGGGTTGGACTAGAAGACCTCCAATGTCCCTTCCAACTCTTCTCTTCTCTTCTCTTCTCTTCTCTTCTCTTCTCTTCTCTTCTCTTCTCTTCTCTTCTCTTCTCTTCTCTTCCCTTCCCTTCCCTTCCCTTCCCTTCTCTTCTCTTTAAATGGGGCACAGCATCAGTGTGACTGGCTGCTGAGGGCATATACAGGTCCTGATTTTTTAAAATTTAAACAGTGCTGTGTTTTGACTACCTGTATATATTGCTAGTCCATGTATGATATGCCATGTGGCAGGAGAATCAAACTCAAGGCTGGTGGGTCAGATCTGGCCCACGGGGTGCTTGAATCTGGCCCACGGGGCTGGCCTGGAAATATCAAAAGACCGGCCTGCGGTGCCTCTGCCAGCCAAAACGGGCCATGGAGGGGTCATGTGTGGCCTTCCCGCAACCTATTTTCCGACCTCCACAGCCTCCTGCAGCACTCTGCTGGCCAAAAATGGGCCGTACAGAGCAGAGGTGGGTTTCAGCAGGTTCTGATCAGTTCTGGAGAACCGATAGCAGGAATTTTGAGTAGTTTGGAGAACCGGTAGTAAAAATTCTGACTGGCCCCACCCACATCTATTCTCTGCCTCCCGAGTCCCAGCTGATCGGGAGGAAATGGGGATTTTGCAGTATCCTTCCCCTGGAGTGGGGAGGGAATGGAGATTTTACAGTATTTCTTCCCCTGCCATACCCACCAAGCCACGCCCACCAAGCCATGCCACGCCCACCAAGCCACATCCACAGAACCGGTAGTAAAAAATTTTGAAACTCACCACTGGCACAGAGGTCGTGCAAGGCCCCTGCATGGCTCATTTTCGGCTTCCCTGGCCTCCAGCAGCATTCTGCCAGCCAACCCCCCCCCCCCCTTTTGGCCCAGTGCCCCCCCCCCCCCCCCCCCCCTCTCCACCCCCCACCCCACCCCCGCCGGCCTGTGGAGAAGAACTAGAATGCTGATCTGGTCCTCGAAGAAATCCAGTTTGTTACTCCTGCCATACCCTAATTTTTTTTTAAAAAAAAAACCTTCATATTCTATGGATAATATGATGCTCTGCATAGGGGAAAGCGGGCCATATATATATTTTTCCATTACAAGGTACATCCATGTTGCAAAGTCTCAAAATAATTGCAAAGCTAATATATATATATATATTTCAGTCCTTAAGAATGAGATTGGGGGGAGGGGTGCTAAGCGGTCCAGGGTTGGAGGTCAGCCATGCCCAAGTTTAAAAGTAGAACATATAGGAATTTTAGCCTTGGAATCGCCTTGCTAGTTTTGATTGTCTCTCCGGGTGTTTATTCTAAGGGGGTGGGAAAGGCAAGAGTGCTTTATAAGCCTTCCAGAGAAACACCATTGACCTTGTCAGTTTTAATTGTGCCATAACTAAATTACTCCCTGAATCTCTGTGAGATGATGTTGAATTTTGTAAAGTTTGCATTTTTTTTTTCAAAGACCAGAATGTCCCAGAGGAAGGTGAGGGAAGGGAAGCGGTTGCTTGCGGTGTATTTTAAAATAAAAATCACACTCGTCTAATTGCTCTATCCCTCCTTTTCCCCCTAGGATTTTCCAATGTCTGAATGACAACAGTGTCACCAGATGTGGCCCAAAATGCACCTGGACGATCTGAACCTATTTGCCACCCGTGCAACAATCTCTTCTGAGCTGCAAGTTTTTTATGCTGCACACAAAGTAACCAGAAGCGAGGTATTTAAGCCGTTTCATTAGGGAGCAGTAAAATAACTGCAAACTCTTAATTATTTCCATAGGAGAAAATTAATAATTCTATTTGAAAAGGGGAAGGGAAGGGGAAGGGAGGAAATAGAGGAGATGGAAAGGGAAGGGAAGGGAGGAGGAAAGGAAGAAAGGAAAGGAAAGAGAGTAGAGAAAGAGAGGAAAGGAAAGGAAGAAGAGGAAAGGGAAGGGAAAGGAGTAGAGAAGGAGGGGAGGGAAAGGGAAAGGAAATGGAGTAGAGAAAGAAGAAAGGAAAGGAAAGGAAGAAGAGGAAAGCGAAGGGAAGGAAGGGGAAGGAGTAGAGAAGGAGGGGAGGGGAAAGGGGAGGGGAAGGGGGAAGGAAAAGGGAAAGGAAAGGAAAGAAGGAAAGGAAAGGAAAGGGAGGGTGAAAAGGAAGGGAAGGGAAGGAAAGAAGAAAAGAGGAAGGAGGGAAGGGAAGGGAAAGGAAGGGAAAGGAAGGGAATAGAGAAAGAGGGAAGGGAAGGGAAGGGAAGGGAAGGGCAAAGCCAAGTCTGGAAGAGGAGTCAAAAGCAAGCAAACACCCTCACTTCATGAGGTGGCTTCAACCTGGAAACTGAAACCCTCCCTTGAAGACAAAATGATACATTCAGAAATTTATTATCCCCAAAGGTCCTATTTTGTTGATCTGTATTGGAGGTATCTAGGTGGGTGGGAGTAGACAGGTATTCTGGATCTAGGCCACCAAAGAAAACGAGGAGCCAGCTCTGGGATGCCTTTCCTTGCCCTTTGTTAGCTGGGACTTCTGTGCGCTCCTGTTTTGGCACTCGGTGCCGAAAAGGTTTGCCAGCACTGTTTTATACCATTTCAGAAAAATGGTTGTCCAATCTCTTCTTAAAAGCCTCCAGTGATGGAGCATCCACAACTTCTTGAGGCAAGTTGTTCTAGTTGTTCTTGTTCTGTAGTACCAAGGCTCTAGTACCAAGAGCCTTGGTACTACAGTGGTTTAAAGCACCCTGTTATTAACACAGCTGCCTGCAATTTACTGCTGGTTCGAATCTCTCCAAGGCTCAAGGTTGACTCAGCCTTCCATCCTTTCTAAGGTAGGTTAAATGAGGACCCAGTTTGTGGGGGCAATAAGCTGACTTTGTATAAATATACAAAAGTATGAAGGCTATTGCTTAACGCACTGTAAGCCGCCCTGAGTCTCCGGAGAAGGGCGGCATATAAATCAAATAAAAATAAAATAAAATAAATAAATAGTGATTAATTGTTCTAACTGTCAGGAAATTTCTCCTTAGTTCTAAGTTGATTCTCTCCTTGATTTGTTTCTATCCATTGCTTCTTGTTCTATCTTCCTCCTTTGAGTGATGGCATGATGCATGCAATGTGATTATGGCTTGTACAATTCTCTGTTTCAGGGTTCTGTAATCCCTTCTCCATAACTTGTTTTATCAACCACTAAGTTACATTAAGTAATTAGCGTTACCCTAGAAGAGGGGTGGGCAAATATGGCCCCTTTATGACCTGTGGACTTCAACTTAGAATGATGATTAAAAACCCCATCTGCTAGGTTAGCTAAAATGTTTAAACATATGTCTAGCAAATGTTGGAAATGTAACCAAAAAACGGGCACATATTGCCACATGCGGTGGACTTGTGTTACAGCAAAAGAATTTTGGGCAAAAATACACAAGTTGTTAGAAAAGATGATAGGAAAACATTTTTTTAATGTTTTAAACCTGAACTTTTTCTATCACAATATTAGAAAAATGAAGAAATACCACAAGACAAAGAGATAATTAAGGAGATGCTGGATTGTGCAGAAATAGACAGAATTTAAACAGAAAGAAGATACAGAATATTATCAAACATGGAACTTATTCTACCAGTGGTTGGAAAAAAAGGTGGGGGGGGGGGAGATTAAGAATGTAATCTGTACCAGTGGTGAAATCCAATTTTTTTTACTACCGGTTCTGTGGGTGTGGCTTGGTGGGTGTGGTGTGCCTTGGTGGGTGTGGCTTGGTGGGCATGGCAGGAGAAGGATACTGCAAAATCTCCATTCCCACCCCATTCCACGGGAAGGATACTGCAAAATCCCCATTCCCACCCCACTCTGCGGCCAGCCAGAGGTGGTATTTGCCGGTTCTCCGAACTACTCAAAATTTGCACTACCGATTCTCCAAACTGCTCAAAATTTCTGCTACCAGTTCTCTAGAACCTGTCAGAAAAGAATGATGATAAATATCAGAATGATATTGGGGTTATAGAGCAAGGATGGGTTAGCTACAGGAACATGTCAATCTCTGGTAGGCATTATCTGGACTTTTGAGTCCTGCCGTTTCAACCAAGATAATCTTAACAGAAAGACAGGTACATACAGAATGAACAGTAATCATTTGTTGATACAGATAGTCCTCCACTTACGACCACAATGTCTGTTGCTAAGCGAGACAGTTGTTAAGTGAGTTTTGCCCCATTTATACGACCTTTCTTGCCACAGTTGTTAAGTGAATCACTGCAGTTGTTCAGTTATTAACACGGTTGCTAAGTGAATCTGGCTTCCCCGTTGATTTTGCTTGTCAAAGGGCCGCCAGAGGGGATCACATGACCCTGGGACACTGCAACCGTCATAAATAAGAGTCAGTTGCCAAGCGTCCGAATTTTGATGATGTGACCTTGGAGATCCTGCAATGGTTGTTAAGTGTGAAAAACAATCATAAGTAACTTTTTCTTTTGAGGGCCGTTGTAACTTTGAACTGTTGTAAGTTGAGGACTACCTGTATTTGAGAAATTAAAGGCTGTACCCTAGGGCTGATCAGAAATTGTAGTCTACCAGTCCTAGGTGTTCTGGATTTTCTTTTAAAAAGCAAGTATCTATGTTAACTGTTGTAAAAATTTCCCTCCTTCTCTGTAATCAAAAAAGGATATTAGCTGTTGTATGCTTAAGTCAGCGTGTTGTATCTGTGAGCAAATAATTCTGTAAATCTGTAATATACATGCCTAGTTCTGTGTGGTCCCATCATTTTATACCAGTTTCTCCCCCAAACATTAAATAAACTGTGATTAAAAATGTCATAAACATTTTCCTAACATGTGGAATGTTGGATATGAATTTCAGCTATTTCCAAACGAATAAACAATTGTCTATTGGATGTTGGAGAATAAGCAGAAGTTTCTAAGCAGAATACATTCACGTCTAGTTTGCACAAACCCAAGACAGAACATCAAAAAGCATTGCAAATATTACCCTCATAATAACATCTGACTGTTATGTCTTCCAAAATAAATCACATTGAATTCCCTTAGTTTATTACCATTGAATTCAGCGGCACTGAATTGTAGGTATACGAAGAATTGCTACAAGATGAAAATTGGGTCAGAGGAGCCATTAGAAGGCCATGAAATCCACCCAAATGAATAAACATTTGATTTCATTTAGGCGCTATACGTATCCTTTACAAGCCATGATCACATTGTATTCATCATGCCATCACTCAAAGGAGGACGGTAGAACAAGAAGCAATGGATAGAGAACCAACCTAGAATGAAGGAGAAATTTCCTGATAGTTAGAACAATTAATCAGAGGAATGACTTGCCTCCAGAAGTTGTGGATGCTCCAACACTGGAGGTTTTTAAGAAGACATTTGACAACCATTTGTCTGACTTGTATAGTCTAACAAAATAATTAGGGTGATATGATAGCAATCATCCAGTATTATGAAGCTGTCACAGAGAAGATGGGGACACCTATTCTCCTGTTGTGGTCCGCCGGCGGCCTGCGGAGCTGGCAGCAGAGTCGGACAGTGAGGAGGTTGGGGTGGAACATGGGCCAGTCCTGGAGTCTGGGGAAGGCTCAGACGAGGGCTCTGCGTCGGAGGCAGAGAGGGGGCCAGGGCCATCTGGGAGTTATGTGCTGCCTCCGGAGCCTCTGGAGCCTCCAGAGTCAGACATCAGCAAGGCAGAAGAACAGGGGGAGCCTGTTCCCAGTGCGCGTATGCGCAGAGCTGCCAGAAGGCAAGAACAGTTAAGACAAAAGCAACGACTCGGGAGTAGGACTTGGAGATGATTGGCCCCTCCCATAAGACATAAAGGAGGAGCAAAGGCACGTGAGCCTTTGCAGGAAGCAACTTTGTTCGTTCTGGTCGGTTTAAATTCTGAAGCTCCATTTTGACTCTGTGCTCCGTGTGGTCTTGCAAAGCTAATTGCCACTTAGGTCTTTGGCAGCGTGTCAAGGGAGATAAAGGTGGGTGCTTATCAGCCTTATCCCGAAGGACTGTGGCAGACTTCTGTCGGACTCTTTACAAACTATTTGTGACTCATTACGGGTTGTGAATGAACATAATTCACAGCCGTTGAAATAAAAAGAGGGTTTTTGGGACTAATTGTGTGCTTTTTACTGTCTCAGGAAGCCTAGGTTAGAACATCTCCAAAGGACCTGAGGACAGGAGAAAAAGTAACAGGAGGACCATCATTAAAGAAAAATCCACCCTACAACTAAGAAACAATGAAGATCTCTGGAAGTTTAGGAGCTCCATCATTGGAAGTTTTCAAAAAGACAATGGATGGCCATTTGATTGGAATGGTATATATGGTGTCCTGCCTGAGCAGGGGGTTGGACTAGAAGACCTCCAAGGTCCCTTCCAATCCTATTATTCCATGTTCTATGTTCTAACATTATGAGCATTTACAGGGCTTTGTAAGGCTGCAGTGTTTCCCTCTCCCAAACTCTGTGACTTCTGCAGATATCTTTGCCACAACAAGTTTTTATTTTATTATTATTTATTAATCATATTTCTCTGCTGCCCACTCTCCGAGGACTCTGGGTGGCTTACAACAATCGACAGTATACTAAATAGCATATTGCCCCCTAACAATCTGGCTCCTCATTTTACCCACCTCAGAAGGATGGAAGGCTGAGTCAACCTTGAGCCGGTGAGATTTGATCCGCTGATCTGCTGAACTAGCAGTCAGCTGAAGTACTCTAACCACTGCGCCACCTCGGCTCTGGTTGCTATGTATAAGGCATCTTTACGTGACTCCACAGCTGACATAGAAGTCCAGATGCCCTTTTTGGGTGGAGAATCAAGACCCTGAGCAGGCAGGTAAAAGAGACGCATATTTCGTGCTTTCTGGGAGAGTGGCACATTTATAAGAGATTGGACAAATGGACAACCATTTGTCTGAAATTGTATAGGGTTTCCTGCTTGAGCAGGGAGTTGGACTAGAAGACCTCCAAGATCCCTTCCAACTTTGTTATTCTATTAAAGGATGTCATTGGTGTCAAGTTTCGAGGTTGTCTCAAATAAATTGCATTTCAAACGAAGTCTTTGAAGAAAAACTCCTATTTATTAAGCACGACATTCTAACCCGACTCCAAACGAAGCCAACACTGACTTCCAGCCCCAAAACCCTCCCTTTCCGTTCCCCACTCCCCTGCACTCATTGGCCATCTTCCAAGTCATTCTACCCCTAATCTACCGCTCCAGCTCAAAGGAATTTCCCCCCTCCCATCTCATCTCCTAGGGGATATTATCTCCAGGAAAAATAAGTAGGTGAAAAGTCAAACGTCCCTTTCCAGACGCCTTCGCTTCTCCTTCTTATGTCAGCACTAGAGTAAATGCAGGTTGAAGTGCTGACAATTGGCATCCTTTGTGTGATGATGTCATGACACATATGACATCACTTCCTCTGAGTGCCCATCCATAAGTGCCCACACTAGATCCATCATGGGTTTGACCCACCTTCTTCTTACTTTTACTCTCAGACTGAGGTCTAAACTTTTGCACGATCTTTTAGATAGGATGTCAACCCATCCTTTGATTCAGATTTGCTTCTGAATGCAGAGCAGAATAACAGAGTTGGACTAGAAGACCTTGGAGGTCTTCTAGTCCAACCTCCTGCTCTGGCAGGAAACCCTATAACATTTCAGACAAATGGTTGTCCAATCTTTTCTTTAAAACATCCAGTGTTGGAGCATCCACAACTTCTGGTGGCAGGTTGTTCCATTGATTAATTGTTCTGTCAGGAAATATCTCCTTACTTCCAGATTGCTTCTCTCCTTGGTTATTTCCCAACTATTGTCTCTTGTCTTGCCTTTTGGTGCTTTGGAAAATAGTTTGACCCCCCCTCGTCTTTGTAAGAGCCCGTGAAATATTGGAACACTGCTATCATGTCACTCCTAGTCCTTCTTTTCATTAAACTAGACATACCCATTCCTGCAATGGTTCTTCATATGTTTTAGCCTCCAGTCCCCTAATCATAGGGGTGCAGGGGCTCAGTGGCTAAGACGCTGAGCTTGTCGACCGAAAGGTCGGCAGTTCACGGTTCGAATCCCTAGTGCCGCTGAACGGGGTGAGCTCCCGTTACTTGTCCCAGCTTCTGCCAACCTAGTAGTTCAATAGCACGTAAAAAAAGCAAGTAGAAAAATAGGAACCACCTTTGGTGGGAAGGTAACAGCGTTCCATGCGCCTTTGGCATTTAGTCATGCTGACCACATGACCACAGAGACGTCTTCGGACAGCGCTGGCTCTTCGGCTTTGAAACGGAGATGAGCACCTCCCCCTAGAGCCGGAAACGACTAGCATATATGTGTGAGGGGAATCTTTACTTTTACTTTTTACCCTTATCATCTTTCTTGCTCTTCTCTGCCCTTTTTTCCACATCTTTTTTATATCGTGGGGACCAAAAAACCCTTGTAAAGGAAGATGCAGCGTGTCAAAGAGATATTTCGAGTAGGTGTAGCTTAGGTTCAAGAGAGGAGGAAATTGAAAATAACAGCTCTTTTACCCAGCGATAATCTGAGGTCTTTGATCCATTGTCTCAAAATGTTCCAGAGAGTTCAATGTTTCCTTGCTCAGTAACGATAACAAGCGTTTTAGCTGGGAAAAGCTAAAGAAATCGGGGAGTCGTATTTATTTTTCCGTGGGTACCTATCAAGATGGAGGAACTGCCATGATGGCAGTCATGAACAAACTTAGCTTTCCCTTTATAGAAAGTCCGGAGTTGGTGATTTGAGTCATTCTGCTTTTGAAATAATGCAGGCAGCTTCTGTCTGGGAAAACCCAAAGCTTGGGTAATGTCTAAAAGCCTCTTTTGTTATGCTTCCTGGAAGATGTGGCGGGGTCTAAAACACGGATAGCAACATGCCGCTGGTCGGCCTCAATACCCCTGATCCTTCCCGTGGTGCCCACGGGAACCCCTATCTGACTTTTTAAAAGATGCCTTAGTTTGTTTATTTTACTTTTAAAAAAATTAATCCTACCCTGATTCAAAGCAAAATGCAATCTTTATATTGTCATAATGTTTTTGGATGCTGCCAAGAGCGTACAAGGATGATGGCATCCAGGAGGCTAACTTGTCTTCTCTAGAAAATTTCCCAAAAGTGCTTTTTCAAGAGGCAACTGGTTTTTCTTTGAAGACATTTCGCTTCTCATCCAAGAAACATCTAGAAAATGCTTGTTTTTTGCAGGCCACACCCCCCCAGGCAACCATTTTATAAGTGTGCCCACCTCTTGTTCTCAGAATTCCATGGGTTTTTTTCCCCCAACTCTTTGTCACATCCATCCCAAAAGAAAGCCTCTGGTCTCAGTCGTATATGTAGTTAAGACTAGGGGTGGGATTCTACCAGTTCAGACTGGTTCAGGCGAAACTTCCAGTGTTGGAGAATTCACAACTGGCAAGTTGTTCCAGTGGTTAATAGTTCTAACAGTCAGGAAATTTCTCCTTAGTTCTAGGTTGCTTCTCTCCTTGATTAGTTTCCACCCATTGCTCCTTGTCCTGCCTTCAGGTGCTTTGGAGAATAGCTTGACTCCCTCTTCTTTGTGGCAGCCCCTGAGATATTGGAACACTGCTACCATGTCACCCCTAGTCCTTCTTTTCATCAGACTACACATAGCCAGTTCCAGCAATCGTTCTTTATATGTTTTAGCCTCCAGTCCCCTAATCATCTTTGCTGCTCTTCTCTGCATTTTTTCTAGAGTATTTTCCTAGTAGCTATTTGCACCCAAAGAAGCCGGATCTTCTAAGGATCATACTCAACAATGTAAGAACTCCGACAGAGAATTTTCAAGATTTGGGTCTTGAATCCGGCAATGCTACAAATGTCCTGTGCATTTCTTCAACCATTCTTATTAGACCAGATAGGCTATAAATTGGGTTTGCTTTTTTCATCCAAGGATGTGAAGGACTGGTTGTTTCATTTAGCTTACTTACGAGGAGGCCAAAGGTGCTTTTGACTTCAATTCTTCAGTCACAACTGAAGAACCTTCTTGGGAGGAGAAGCAAAACTCCTTTCAAGGAGCCTGAGTGGCATAGGAGGCTAATGCCTCCTACTAAGGCAGCATTTAACATCCAGCTGCCTGCAATTACTGCGAGTTCAATTCTCACCAGGCTCAAGGTCGACTCAGCCTTCCATCCTTTCTAAGGTGGGTAAAATGAGGACCCGGTTTGTGGGGGCAATAAGCTGACTTTGTATAAAATATACAAAAGTATGAAGGCTATTGCTTAACGCATTGTAAGCCGCCCTGAGTCTCTGGAGAAGGGTGGCATATAAAAATAAATAAATAAAAAAAAGAAAGAAAGAAAAAAGAAAAAAAACACCAAAGAAAAGTCCAGTTGCCTTTTTGAAAAATCGCCTTATTGGGACAACTATGACCTGGATGACTGAGAATCTCGATAGAGAGTTTGGAGCTTAATGGGGCAGGACTTCAGTTGTGCGATTGTGGCCATCAGTTTGATGTTTTTGACTCTACACACAATATTCTAAGCCAGGGGTCTGCAACCTTAAACACTCAAAGAGCCACAAAGGTCCTAACCGGAAGCCTCCCATTCAATTCTGGAGCCGACCGGAAGTCCGGTTCCCCACATCATAGAGTCTCCTCCTGGAGTAGCGTCTTCTTTCCTCTACCTGTCCTAACCGAAAGCCCTATCAATTGTGGAGCCGACTGGCGACAGGGAACCACAGCAGAGGGATGAAAGAGCCACATGCGGCTCCAGAGCCGCAGGTTGCCGATCCCTGTTCTAAACCAAAAAGGCACTGGATCAAGATGAAAACTGACTTCGCAAACACTAGATCTTTCATGGACTGGGTTAAAATGTGTTGTGGGAACACAGCCAACATCTGTCAACGCCAGTTGTTGGGTGGAGATTGCAAGCAGCAGGAGGATCTGTTCTCATCTTCTGCCTTTCCAGGGAGATCTGATTGCCTTTGCTATTATTTTAGGCATATTAGTGAATTCTAGGATTGATAATACATATTCGCCTGGTTCTTCCAGGCCGCCCCTCGAGGGAAATATTCTGTCTTGACATTTTGCGTTGCTATCTCTTTAGCCTTCAAATTCCCTCCTGTGTCGTGCCAAAAGGCCTAAATCCACAAGCCTGCTCATGCTCCTTATAAAAACAGATATAAAATATTTTAATCAGAGGTCTCGCCCCTCACCTCTTACTTAATTTGAGTATCTTTCTTTCTCTTAGCCTCTGTTTTAAAAGAGATTTGCAGAGACATGCTGAGAGGCTCCTAGACGTAAAATAAAAATAAAAAATGGCTTTCTCTTCCCTTAACCTCTCCTTTTTTTTTTTAAACTAGGTTCTGATTATTTTTATATGCTCTCTTCTTTCCCAAAGCAGCTATGTTTTTTTTTATTTTATTTTATGCGAGAACACAGTGGAGCACAGTTTTACAGTATTCTTATTATCTCCCCCCCTCC